GTAATAGACAAACTTAAATATTGGGTAACTAAAACTTTTGTAAAAGAGCGGTGATGGCATGCTTTGAAATGGTTCAATAAAGTGCTTCGAAAAAGAACTTTTGACCGTCAGTCGATAATCTAAGAGTAATTTAACAGTGCTTAACATTCATTTTCCTTGCCGGTTATGACGGTGACGTTCAGGAATCAATATAGTTCCAGCGCACTCAGTCATCAGTGATCCAAGAACAGGCAGTAGCCAGCTCTGACCTTTTTGTTGTGCCAATAGATTGGAAGTAGTGCCGACAACCGAAGAACTGGCCATGAAAAAGCGCTAATAAGCCAAGATATGAAAAATACTCTGTCAAGCTTACTAATTCCGTATAAAAGAAATGAAGTAAATATTGTTCTAAACGGGACTTTTCTGAGGCTAAAATGTTTTTAAACGTGACGTTTCGGGCAGTTTTACTGCTCTTCTTCAGGAACCGTAGTTCGAACTCAATATGACGGACTGCCTGTGAACTTTGTTGTGTTTTTGCGCCCGCGGCCTCAGTTTTTTGGTTGGTCGCTGTGTGCCCGCAGTCAATAGATTTTCTCAGTACACTTCGTTTCTGTTAGATGAGGGGTTTTTTGTGTAATGGCTCAACTATGTTCTTGAACTATTCCGTTTTAGAAATGGTGGCTTTTTGGTGTATACTGTCATTTTTCTTTCGGAGTCAAAAATTTACCCTTGATACATGAAGTTTTTCTTCTCAGAAAATCAGATGGAAGCAATTAGTTTGTGAAAGCTATTAGGAGATGCAGTGGACCAAAATAAAGCTAAGATTTCTACTGATATCGAGCAAGCATTTTACAGTCAAAACGGTATATTCATTTATCGTTACAAGTGCCCCAGCGGTTAATCAGAGAAACACTGCAGAACAGCTGACACCGACAAGTAATTCAGTGAGGGCCTAACGGCGAAAAGAAAAACAACAACAACAACATTGTGAAAGCAGGAGCGTATGACTTCGTTTCAAAAATTCATGATCACCAGGAGTTTTAGGTATTAAAAAATGTTGAAGATGTCTCAACGGAGGCCACCTATCTTTGCATGCGTTGAAAGAGCGAGTCTGTCTTCACCATAGTTCCAAATGTTGCCATTCTTGTCATAAATTTTAACCCTTATTGGAACATTTGAAACCGTCGCATATCTCAACGAAGAGCTCGAAAAATCAGAATTTAATAGTGGTTTGGGCAAAAAACTTCAAACTTCCAATAAGCGGAATTTTTTCACTTTTTTCGCAAAACGTGAGAAGTACTTTAGGTCACTTTAGAGAAAGTGATCTAACGATAAAAAACATAGGGGTCACCGGAAGTCCAACATCATTACTGATCCACGCAAAGATATAGCTGTGGCCACTTGCACTATTGTTTCTCATTGTGTTTCTCAGCAAGCGCGGTCTATGCAGGACTCCATGGCGTCCGAATTATGTGTATTCGCACAGACAGTTAGCCTGCGAAAACAGCCGGCTGTTTCGCAGGCTAACAAGCACGAGTCTGACAAGCGTGTAAGGCAGCTACTTTGATACCCAAATCTCACGTGTGCGTGTTGCACTCGTTCAATCGCTAGATAACCAGGATAACCGTGCTCTGTCGTAGTCATAGAAATTCAAATAGCGTTTTGGAGGAATTCTTTCTACTAACAAGTCAGTCTCTGGCTCATTTCTCGAAACGGCTGAAGTGTAAAAGGAAGTAAAAGGTCCATAAGTTCGGTAATGGTTGACGATCTAGTGTAAATCCTACCGGGAGGCTCAGGTTTAAAGGTGCACTTTCATAAGCATA